TAATGAACTTTGAAGGAAGTACACAAAACATGTTAGGAACTAGTAACTTAGGGAAACAAGACATAAATACATTATGTAATAAAGGTGACTAGATAGAGTCCAGCTTAAAATAAGCAATACAAACAATAGCAGTTCTTAGGAGGAAATCAGTGTACTGGTGTACTACTACACCATAGTACATATAGTGTACTACTCCCTGGGCGTGCTACTAATCTTCCCTATTTTATTAAACAGCAATACCAGTTGCTCAAGCCAGACACAGTCATTCTTGATGCTCTTTTCCCCTTACCTACAACACTCAAACTATTAGCAAATCCAGTCAACTTCACCTCTAGAATATATCCCAAATCATAGAAAGCATAAAACCAATAGTAAATCTCTGTTGTATTTACTCTTAAATTTTCATTCCACATCTATAATCTGATGAAACAGCAACTGACATTTGTGTTGCACTTTTCACTTTGACACCTTTATTTGATTCTTGTCATCACTATTAGAAATATTTAGAGCAAGATTTAGGTAGAGTCTTATAAAAGAGGTGGGATTTTTGCTGGGTTTTGGTAGACAAGTTATTTGGGAATAAGGAGAGAAGAGTGATGACAATTTAGAGGGAAATATTCTGAACAGGATGAATAAGGTTTAAAGTTTTACATAAAGTTGGACTGTTGCATGGACTTTTAGGGACAATACACAATTTAGATAATGTGAGACAAGTTGAAGATTCGTATGCAATAGCTTTTTCGTGTACTATAAAATGCATAAAATTAAAATTATTGTGTCAATTTGGACCTATAGCCTTGCTCCTTTGTCTCATTGTTCAAAGACATCTATACAGATGTATCATCATTATTGTAATTCAAATAATTCCTGTGAATCACATTAAAATAATTTCAAGGGGTAGTCCAGCCAGTGGGTCTCAAATATTTTATACCATTTATATGTTCCACCCAGTTCTAACATCTGTTCAGTTGAGAACAGTTGTTTCATTCATAAGTTCACCCATAATGAATTAGTGAGTCACCCATAAATAAAAACTAGGGACAGGCGCTGGCATGGTGGTTCATACCTGTAATCTCAGGACTTTGGGAGGCCAAGGCAGGAGGATTGCTTGAGACCGGAAGTTCAAGACAAGCCTGGGCAACATAGTGAGACCCTGTCCCTATCAAAAAATAAAAGCCAGGCATGGTGGTATGTGCCTGTAGTACCAGCTACTCAGGAAGCTGAGGCAGGAGGTTCACTTGAGCCCAAGAGTTCAAGGTTACAGTGAGCCATGATCATGTCACTGCACTCCGGCTCCTGAAAGACAGAGCAAGATCCTATCTCAAAAAAACACACAACTGTAGATAATGAAGAGAACATACTTGTCATCTACTTAAGCCCAAAACATCTTAGTTTTGTCTTATTTCATCTGATTATTTTATCTACATTTAGCCAAAATTCAGATTGGCTTAATAAAGCAGATGTATTAGAATACGTCTTACAGATCTTGTCCAAAGCAATTTTTAAGTACATTATTTTCTAGTAAATTTAAATGACAAAAATAAAAACTATTAACTTTTTAATCTTCTATGAGTTTATTTATAATAGTGCCTTAATTTGTAGTAACATTTAGACACTTTGTCATGTATCGTCTTTATTTTCTAGTCTTTTAAATTAAAATTTTATGCAGCATATCTGTACCTCTCAACTTCATATCAATTTTATATGATAAAAAAATTTAATACTATATCTTGTGAATTATAGATACTGTCCTTGAAATTACCTTCACCACAAACTTTAAATTTTTCATAGTATGCTTTAAATTGCTAAATTCTCTGACCAATTCCTGAATAATTTTCATAATTCACCCTTAAGTAAGCCTTTTAAAAAATTAACTATAACCACTAACCATATATGTGCTATAGACTATCAATGTGAACGCTATAATCTTTTAAAGTTTCTATTAATATATTTCAACTAAACTTATGTATTTTAGGTAGATCAGTTTTCATAGCACATATAGCAAAACTAAGACACATGTTAGGATTTTTAAGTTATAGCTAAAATTGTGCTTATTTTTAAGTTTAGTAATTTATAAAGGATGTTATTTCCAACTAGAATTATTTTTAATCTGCTTATTTTTAAATATTTTCTTTTACAGCTTGATGTGTGAAAAAAGAATTTTTGAAACTGTGAATAGTGTAAGGCATCCCTTTTTGGTGAACCTTTTTGCATGTTTCCAAACCAAAGAGCATGTTTGCTTTGTAATGGAATATGCTGCCGGTGGGGACCTAATGATGCACATTCATACTGATGTCTTTTCAGAACCAAGAGCTGTGTGAGTATGCTTTAGACATTTATCTGAGTTTTTCCATGACTGATTTAATGTGGGAAGGGAAAGAGATTCTTTGAATTTTAGATTTTTTTCCTAACAGAAAATAGATCTCTGTAAGAAATATTAGAACTCCTTACTTACTTTTTTGCCATATACTTTTTGTATGTATTCTGTTGTCTGTGTTGAAAATGTCATGGATTATCCTAAACCACAATTAATTCTTTAGATAAACAATGTAGATTCATTTTAGTAAAATTTCTTTTTGTGCTACTAGATTTTCTTACTAGAGAATGCCATTCAGAATTACAGCTTTAAAGACAGATTATACTCAAAATGCACTGTTAAGTTTTTGAAAAGAAAGTACAGAAGAGTCTATCATATATTTATATAAAATGTTTGTATTTGCCTTTCTAAAGAGTAATTTAAAAGAATATCAAGTATTTGCGTCCTTGTGCTTAAAATATCTCTGAACAAATGTAAAAGAAACTGGTTATGTGTGTTGCCTCCAGACAAAGGGATAAAGAGCAGACTTTTCATTGTAAACTTTTTGTAGTTTTTGAAGTCAAGGTTTGGCTTATTCAAATACGTAAGAATAATAGTAAACACTTGAAATTATATATGCATGTATGTATATTTTCCCTGTTAGTATCTTAATTTTATAGCTGTTAAATGGTGGAGCTAAGATTTGAACCTAGGAAAGTGCTATTAATACCTACACCCTGCATGCTGGTGTTTACCAAATTTGTGTTTCCAGCCCCGTCCTTTTACCTAAACTTCCAACTCTAATAATATTCAGTGGTCAGCTAGTTTTCCATTTGCGTGGCTAAGTATCTTATTTAACAACTTAAACTGAACTGATTTTTTCCATTTTTCTATCTACCTCATCTACTACACTCCAGGCCTGCTACTCTTAATCTTCCCTATTTTATTAACCAGATTCAAGCCAGAACACAAGAAGTCATTCTTGATGCTCTTTTTCCCTTAACTTCAGCACTCAAACTATTAGCAAGTCCAGTCAACTCCACCTGTAGAATATATCCCAAATCATAGGAAGCATAAATCTAGTAGTAAATCTCTATTATATTTACTCTTTAGTTTTCATTCCACATCTATAATCTGATGAAATAGCAACTGACATCCGTGTTGTACTTTCACTTTGATTCCTCCATTTGATTCTTGTCATAACCATTAGAGGTATTTAAAGCAGATAATTGTAATACTGTCATAACCTTGAAGTTTCAGATGAGGGAAATAGGGGTTAATTCGAATAGGTACTGAAGCATTTTAAAAGGAGGCAAAAGCCAGAAAGTAATAGAAGGCTACGAATAATTCATTCCCTCAATAAGGCAGAGCATTACGATTAAGCCTACCCCATGCTGCCATGGGAATTTGCTTTTACTTTTTATGCTTGTTTTTGTTTTTAAAATAATATATAAATGTAGTTTGCCTTAAGAAGCTGTTATTTTTGCTGAGAATATAAATTATATACAAATAAAACCATAAAGTTCAGTGAAAATGCAAGAATACAATGCTACATTACAGAACTCCAAATCTGAAGTACCTCCCTTTATCGTTCAGTTCTCAGATCAAATGTCATTTCTTTAAAGGTAATTTTCTGAGTACCCTAGCTATAATATCACATCACTAACCAATTCAATTCACTCTATTTTCTGTATTATCTTTTTCATATCATTTTATTTCTGCATGAAATCTGATTTATTTTTAAAATTTTTATTGTCTGTCTTATTTCACTTAAAAGAGAGGAGCAAGGACCATATCTGTCCTGTTTATTAGTGAAATGCCTAAAAGAACAGCTGGAACATATTAGGCAATCAGTGAATTTTTATTGATTGAAACCATAGAATCAAAATAGCTTGATTTCTAGCTTTGTTGTTTTGTAGTCTAACTTTAGACAAATTACGTTTTCTGAGCTTCATTATCTGCTTCTGTAAAATATTTATCTTAAGGCTTGATTGAAGATTAAGTAAGCTAATAAATGAAAATAACTGACACAATACCTGACAAACAGCAGCATTCAATAAAATACATATTTTACATAGTATATCCAATTAATCAAGGCAGTCTGTTTACAAAGAAAGAAATCAGTGGGAAGCCATGGCTCACGCCTGTAATCCCAGCACTTTGGGAGGCAGAGGCGGGCAGATCACTTAGCAGATCACTTAAGCTCAGGAGCTCTAGACCAGCCTGGCCAACATGGTGAAACCCTGTCTATACTAAAAATACAAAAATTAGCTGGGCATGGTGGCAGGCACCTATAATCCCAGCTGTTTGGGAAACTGAGGCAGAAGACTCACTTGAACCCCAGAGGCAGAGGTTGCAGTGAGCCAAGGTCACATCACTGCACTCCATCCTGGGTGACAGAGTGAGACCCCCCAAATTAAAAAAAAAGAGAGAGAAATCAATATATTTTTATAATTGTTACAGTATTGTTTCGCCACTAAAATAAGTTTGCTAAGAAAATTATGTTTAACGATCTGAAGCAATTTTTTTTTTTTTTTTGAGGCAGTCTTGCTCTGTCGCCCAGGCTGGAGTGCAGTGGCATGATCTTGGCTCACTGCAACCTCTGCCACCCATGTTCAAGAGATTATCCTGCCTCAGCCTCCCAAATAGCTGGGACTACAGGCGTGTGCCACCACGCCCAGCTAATTTTTGTATTTTTAGTAGAGATGGGGTTTCACTGTGTTGGCCAGGCTGGTCTCATACTCCTGACCTCAGGTGATCTGCCTCCCTCTGCCTCCCTCAGCCTCCCAAAGTGCTGGGATTACAGGCGTGAGCCACCATGCCTGGCCATCTTAAGCAATTTTAAGCTCACATTTATTTTAACAAACTTCAGTAGATCCTTTAAACTTCTGGTAAGTTATATAATTTTTAATGTATAATCAAGTAAGTATTTCTAAGTAGTTGCATTTTATTTTTGTTTTTGTTTTTTATTTCTGTGTTGGGGAGTCTAAGCCCTGATGAAACTGCCTGGCGGACCCTGACCACCACACCCCTCCCCCACCCAAGCCCCACGTTTAAAAATTATAGACCCGTGCTCTCTTCAGCAGCGCATATACTAAAATTGGAACGATATAGAGAAGATTAGCATGGCCCCTGCATAAGGATGACACGCAAATTCATGAGGCATTCCATATTTTTCTGAAATTGAGGCAGTAATTAATAGCCTACCAACAAAAAAAGCCCAGGACCAGATGGATTCACAGCCAGATTCTACCACAGATACAAAGAGGAACTGGTACCATTCCTTCTGAAAGTATTCCAAACAATAGAAAAAGAGGGAATCATCCCGAACTCATAAAATGAGTTACCAAAACCTGTTAACAAAACCTGGCAGAGACACAACAACAACAAAAAAATTTCAGGCCAATATCCCTGATGAACATCGATGCGAAAATCCTCAGTAAAATACTGGCAAACCAAATCCAGCAGCACATCAAAAAGCTTACCCACCACGATCAAGTCAGCTTCCTCTGTGGGATGCAAGGCTGGTTCAGCACATGCAAATCAATAAACGTAATCCGTCACATAAACAGAACCAATGACAAAAACCACATGATTATCTCAATAGATGTAAAAAAAGGCCTTCGGTAGGCAGGGGGTGGCAGTGAGCAGAGATCTCGCCACTGCACTCCAGCCTGGCGATAGAACAAGACTCTGTCTCAAAAAAAAAAAAAAAAAGGC